AATACTGATGAGACAACATTTTACTGGCCGGCAAGGTTACCACATCCATGTTCTAAAAAACTATCTGTTGTTCCCAATTCCAGGCAACAAAGGAGGGACTATCTCTTGAGGCCTCACCTTTTCTACCTCTTCTCTTCTGGGTTCAATGCTGCCACTGGGTTATCTAGATAAGTTATTGGACTTATCTCTGTGCCTCTGCTTTCTATCTGTAAAATGAGAATGTAGTTGTGAAATTTCAATGTTTCTGTGTCACATACAGAACAGCCCCTCATCCACAGTAAGAAGCAATAAGTAAGAGGGCTAAATTGTAAGGTCTCTCTACCTTCCACTGTCCATGGTAAGCACTCCTACTAGGGCCATCCAGTCACCTCTCTTTCCTGATTTCTGCGGTAACCTGATCTGGGCAGATAGGGTCCCGATGGATCTCTTCCCTCTTCTCATGCATACCTCTCTCTCCCTGAGAGAGAATGAACTTGCACTATCCAAGATGGGAAGGACCTTCAGCCCACATGGCACAAGCTTCATTCTACAAGTCATTTTCACCAAGGATTTCTTTATTGGATATAATCAGGGGACTGTCTGGTGACTAATAAATTAGTATTGGGGTGCCCGGGTGGCTCAGTTGGTTGAGCATCTGACTTCAGCTCAGGTCATAATCTCATGGTTTGTGGGTTTGAGCCCTGCATTGGGCTCTGTGCTGACAGCTCAGAGCCTGGAGTCTGCTTCGGATTCTGTGTCTCCCTTTCTTTCTGCCCCTCCCCTGCTCACACTCTGTGCCTCTCTCTCAAAAATAAATAAAAACATTAAAAAATTAAAAAAAATAATAAAGTAATATTTGTTTATCCATCTTATTTTTGTTCCTTCGTGTGTACAGAAACTGTGGTTTGGGACTTACAAGCTGGAGTCAGATTTGAGCTGAAAAGTTCTAACCTGAACCCCTAACACAAGAAACTCTTAGTCATCCTTACTCTGCCTCTGTCTTGCCTGCAACATTGATGCTCTCTCTTCCTCTCCTTTATTACTACCTTATTTCCAGTTTTCCACATGTTATCTGAACTATTCCATCAGCCTTCAAAGTGGTCCCGCTTTACAATGGCTTTACAGACCATCTTTAACATTGGCTACTAGGGCTATCTTCCTAAACCCGGTCACATCATTTCTTGCTCAAAACTCTTCAGCAGTTTATTGGTGCCTAAAACAGTGGTCTCTCAATCCTGGCTGAACATCGAACACAGAGATTAAATCACAATCAGAGGTGGGACCCAGGAACAAGTATTTTTTTTATTGTCTAATATGAGAACCACTTGATTACTACCTTAAAGGAAAATAGAAATTTAGAAGCACAATGCTACGTGCAATTTTTTAGAATGGAGTTAAATGTATGTCCAATAATTTCAAAATAGTGATGAAAGTTCAAATGGGGAAGATGATAGCTCTCAAGAAGGCTGGTAGAAATTTGCTTTGGAAAATAACCTAAGTTCTTGGGGCACCTGGGTGGCTCAGTTGGTTAAGCATCTGACTCTTGATTTCAGCTCAGGTCGTGATCCACGGTCATGGGATTGAGCCCTGTATCAGGCTACATGCTGGGCATGGAACCTGCTTAAGATTCTCATTCTCGCTCTCTCTCTCTCTCTCTCTCTCTCTCTCTCTCCCACCTCGGCCTCTCTCCCACACTTTCATGTGCACTCCCCCCCACACCCTCCACCTAAAATAAAATTAAAGAAAAGAAAAATACCCTAAGTTCTAGACAAGGCAAGTAAGCATGGAAAAATCTTGAATGTAAGAGAGGAAATAAAAGAGAAGTACAAATATTTATGAAGAGGTGAACATGCGTAAATAAGATTTAATGGTGAAGATTAATGAAATAAGACAAGATCTTAACATATTTCAAAGCACAGACATCAAGGAATGACCAAAGAACTACAAGTAAGGGACAGTGAATAAAGATATGACTTGAAAATAAGGTCACAAGTTGACAGAAAGGCCACTAGATCAAAAGAATATAGGCAGAAACTTCTGGTTCCTATTCTATCTTTGCCGTGTATTGCCATTATTATATTCTTAGACAAGCAAATATTTAACCTTGTTACACCTTGTTCATAAGCTAGGGATAAAACCTATTTCATAAGATAACTGGGAAAATTTAACAAGATAAATACATACAAAAGCATCAAGCATAGGGCAATGCTCAATAAATCAATAAATGTTTGATGAATGTTTCTCTGAGAAGTACTATAGGATGAAATCCTAAAAGAAAAAAACAAACCTTTTCAAAACCATACAAAACGAATACACGGAAGACAAAGAAACATTGGTCTACTATTGTGTTGTGCCAGTATGGTGGGCAACAGAACTTGAAAATTTCTCCAGTTTCCACATGGCAAAATTTGAGGTTAGCTCAACTCCATGGAGGTAATCCATTAAAAAAATCCTTCCAAGACACATAACACTATTCCTTCATTTAAAAGTACACAGAGTGGGTTGGGGGGGGTGGGGCGCCTGGGTGGCTCCGGCGGTTAGGCGTCCGACTTCTGCTCAGGTCATGATCCCGTGGTTTGTGATATGAATTCAAGCCCCGCATCAGGCTCTGTGCTGACCGCTCAGAGCCTGAAGCCTGCTTTGGATTCTGTGTCTCCCTCTCTGTCTGCCCCTCCCCAGCTCACACTCTCTGTCTTTTTCTGAAAAAATAAACATTAAAAAAAATTTTTTTTAATAAAAGAAAAATAAAAAGAACCCACAGTGGTCTTAATTACCACTGCACTGACATCAACATTAATTATCATTGCATTAAAACATGTCAGTAAACAAATACTCCTTACTCTCAGGTCACTCCCAAGTCAGCCTATCAACATTCATGATGCTTTCCCAAACTATTTTAGAGTAGAAAATCAAAAGCACCTGGAGTGGCAGGTACATGTGTTTATAAATCTAATTTCGAAAGGTCAGCTGCTGTTTGTCTCAGGGATGATTCAGGGTGTGGGGAGAGGTGGTGGACTAATTCTGTTAACAAAAAATTTTTTCCCACACTCTGTATGCACACTGCATTTCAGGTGCCACTCCATTAAACTAAGTAGACTCTTGAACAACATCTTAGAAGTCCTAAGTGAGGAAATGGGTATTTTGATGTTTTCTAAGTATCTCAGGTTTCTTGAAACTAAGCTATTATCTTTAAAACTAACACTCCAGGGCGCCTGGGTGGCACAGTCGGTTAAGCGTCCGACTTCAGCCAGGTCACAATCTCGCAGTCCATGAGTTCGAGCCCCGCGTCAGGCTCTGGGCTGATGGCTCGGAGCCTGGAGCCTGTTTCCGATTCTGTGTCTCCCTCTCTCTCTGCCCCTCCCCCGTTCATGCTCTGTCTCTCTCTGTCCCAAAAATGAATAAACGTTGAAAAAAAATAAAACTAACACTCCTTATTTTACTCAATTTATTATATCTCTTTAAAAAGTCTACTGCTTTCTTATCCTTTCTTCAGGTTCAGAACTGGCACCTGCTAATTATGCCTATTAGGCTTAGGGTAGTTCTGTGATTTTCAAGTGGCATTTGCAGGGTGTACCGTTGCAGAGGACACAGAATAAGATTTTCCTAAAGAAGCTCTATAAAAGATATGGGGAGGGGCGCCTGGGTGGCGCAGTCGGTTAAGCGTCCGACTTCAGCCAGGTCACGATCTCGCGGTCTGGGAGTTCGAGCCCCGCGTCGGGCTCTGGGCTGATGGCTCAGAGCCTGGAGCCTGTTTCCGATTCTGTGTCTCCCTCTCTCTCTGCCCCTCCCCCGTTCATGCTCGGTCTCTCTCTGTCCCAAAAATAAATAAACGTTGAAAAAAAAAAAAAAGATATGGGGAAATGGGGGTTAAAAACGCTCACGTATTTGTGAAAAAAGGCTGCCAGAGGTAGTGTATTTGTGTTTTGGTTTGTAAAGACCACGAAAAAGAAAGCGATACCGTCTGCGCAGTCCCCTTGAGGAAGAGGAAACAAGGTGGAAGAAAAGAGCACTGCCCTGGAAATTATGAGACCGGGATTCTGTTCTCAGCCCTGCTAATAGCTAACAATGTGCCTTGGGATGGTCATTGCCGTCTCTGGGTTTGAGCTTCTCACTCTGTAGAATGAGGGTGATGAGCCAGATGAGGATTTCCAAGTCCAATCTAACCGTAGCTCTACACATCAGCTAGCTTTAAAACCGCTGTTTCCAACCTTCTTTTCCAGCCCAGCACACTGGCAGGGACTCTCAAGTCCCTGAAGGCTGTGTCAGAAACCCCTGCAGGGCCGGATGGGTATGCAGTCTGAATCAGCACACCCCCGACACTCTGTACGAGGGACTCTGCTCCTGCATCGTCTATACCCAATGGAAAATCACCAAGTCCCCCGACCTCCAACTGAGAGATGCCACTCAGTACAGCACACACAGCAGGCAGCAGGGGCCTAGTATGGGCAGAAGCAGTGACCAAGCAGCTTCACCTCTTCAGGAAGAACTAAAAGATGTCAGAATTGGAAACACCGTCGATACCCCCTGGCACAACTTCTAATGTTAAACAAAGGAACACACCAAGTCCCTGAAAGGAAAACTGGTACAAAAATAGCCATCAGGTTTGTGTGATTGGGTTGGATAAATACTCAAGACTCCATGCCCAGTGCTCTGGTCAACATGCCATTAAGATCACAATTCACAGAAATTTATGTGGAACGATCTGGCTTCCTTAAATGATCTAGTAAAAGAAACAAAGTTCCAATCCCCTTAATGTTATCTCATGTAAGCTTAAAAAAAGAAAAAAAAAAATCAAGGGGTATGAAATACCAATGAATTGTATGGGACAAAAATAACCAGCTTCAATGATATCCTAGGACCTCCTGTTATAAGCAATTCAGGAGGGGTTAAATATAAATAAATAAATAAATAAATAAATAAATAAATAAATAAATAACAAGCTCCCCCTTTAAACCAATTCCCCATCATCCCCTTGGATCATGAGTTCACCAGGTTCTGATCATCTAGGAGAGTGTCCTTACCATTCCAATGCAGAAGAGAATAAAAAGCAGCAGCCAGGGTATGTCTGTACAGCTACGGTCCTCCAGTGGCTTCCATTCTCGTTTAGAGCTCTAATTGAAAATACAAAATAAGAGAGTGGCAAATGTTAAACGTAGTTAAAATGAGGAAGGCACAAAAATACCACTTATACCTAGACTCCTTCTTGCCTGACAAGTTTCTACTGAACCTACTAAGATACAACTCAAGTACAGGTCACCTTTCTGGGAAGTTTTCCCTAACACCCCACCTTTCTTCCTGGTTAGGCAGAGTACTGACTCCAATGCTTTTCTTGTACCTCTATTAGAGTAGTTAGCATTCTGGGTTGGAATTGTTAACTGTATCCCCAGAAGAACATGAGCTTCACAAGGGAAAAGACCTCTTCTCATTTCCCAGCATCTAACATGACACCTGAGGGTTCAAGACATGTATTCAATACGGCCTTTTTTTTTTTTTTTCAACGTTTATTTATTTTTGGGACAGAGAGAGACAGAGCATGAACGGGGGAGGGGCAGAGAGAGACGGAGACACAGAATCGGAAACAGGCTCCAGGCTCTGAGTCATCAGCCCAGAGCCTGACGCGGGGCTCGAACTCACGGACCGCGAGATCGTGACCTGGCTGAAGTCGGACGCTTAACCGACTGCGCCACCCAGGCGCCCCCACTATGGCCTTTTTTAACGAATAAATGAACAAACAAATTCTTCCAACTTTAATCTTAGTGGTCGCTTTCTCTTTGTGTGTCCAGATGCTAAACTTAAAAATTTAGAGGGGCGCCTGGGTGGCTCAGTCAGTTAAGCGTCCGACTTCAGCGCGGGTCATGATCTCACAGTTCGTGAGTTCGAGCCCCACGTTGGGCTCTGTGCTAACGGCTCAGAGCCTGGAGCCTGCTTCGGGATTCTGGGTCTCCTTCTCTCTCTGCCATTCCCCAGCTTGCACTGTCTGTCTGTCTGTCTCTCTCAGAAATAAACATTAAAAAAATTTTTTTTAATCTAGAATGTGCTTTACATATTATGTTCTTTTCTAGGAAGAAAGCCCATTAAAGTGAATTCCTATTCAAGGGTAATTTCTTTTAGATCTAATAAAATTCAGGAGAGAAAAACTAAATTAAAACATTTTTAGAGACAGATCTGGGTAACTCCTAAGCCACCATCCACGGATTTTCAGTCTGTTTCTAGAAAGTAGAAAGAGTTTCTCGATCAAACAGAGATTCCCTAACTGAAGAACCAGAAGCATTCTAAAAGTAAATGTGCGAAGTATTGAATGGAATCCTGATTGCATTTTTTTTTCTTATAGCAAATACTCTCAGGCTCTCAAGTCAGCTTACAAATTCCTTTTAACCAGAATGTAATAGAAAAAACACCCCTAAGTTTTCTAATGAACAAAAAACCCAGGGTCTCCCACCCTATGCTGGAAAAAATAGGCAGAGAAGGGAGAGAAGGCAGCCTTGGGAAACCTATGGGAAAAGTTCTTGCGAGAAGGTTGGGGCCTCCAATGGCTTCCATGACAAGATCCAGGAAGCCATCTGGGAAGGCTTATCTTCAGGAAAGGGCATACCAACAGAAGGCGGCTGGAGATAATAAGGAGGCCTCTAGTATAGTTAGTATTTAGAGTACAAGAGTCGGGAACTGGTTCTCAGGTTTGCTTATTGGCTTTTCCTCCCTTTAAAAAAGAAAGCAACAGTTTTTAGCTATGTACCCTTTAATAACTTGATGAAAGCTACACATTCTTTTCTTGGGAGGTATGTATCTATTTGCATAGTTTTCATAAAACTTTAGGGAATTCAGACCCCAAGTTAGGAAACTCAACTTTAAAATACCTGCTTATCAATGTTGAAAGCAGAGAGTCTGAGCTACACCCCTTCTTCCCTACCCCTCACATGCTAACCAGACAGATGCCTTTTCCTTGTTTAGTGCCTTACACTGTTCAGTTGTTCAACAACAACAACAAAAAACTCCACCCCCCTTAATAGCTTGGTCCCAGACACCCACACAAGAAAACAAAAGAGCAGTAGTGACTCACAGGGGAAAACCTTACCCTAAGACTCTAACTAGAATTAAAAACCAAGAGTGAGTAGGCAGTTTTTTCCAAAGGAATGTAACACTATGGAAAATGGATCAAGGACTCTGTTCTCTCGCCGGTTCTGTCATTAGTTAGCTACGTGACTTTGGAAAAATTGCTTCATCTCTCTGGGTGGCAGGAAGGAGTTAGACTGCATCTCTTAGGTTCCTTCCAACTGTAAAAATCTATGATCAGCAGGACAATTTTGTGAAAATTTTTATGACAAAAAAAAAAAAGAAAAGAAAAGCTGCAAAAATAATTTGACATTATTCCTTGTACTTTTCAAGCAAGAATGCCAGTATTGTGGTCTATGTTTGGAACACAGCTACTCACAGTACGAATAAAGAATGTTTCTTTGTATTAAATAATTTCAATCTTGAATAATTCCCATTAGAGTAAAATGACTTACAAACACAGAATTTGGATACCTCTTTGAAATTCATATTTACCCTAAGGTAATTTCCAGAGCAAGAGCTACTTTAAGATGCTATATTTGTTTATCTTAAACAGTCTAAAAAACAAAACAAAACAAACAGTCTATGGGGGGGGGGGGGGGGGGAGGAGCCTCAGATTGATCGAGCAGTTTCTTTATCCACAACTATTTTCTTAGCAATGTTACCTTAGACCAACATTCAGTTTTTAATGCTTAAATTTTCACCTACAACATAAAGAAAGTGGGATTTCACTCTTGACCAGAAACACACAGAGATCCGACATCCCAACAATTTAATTCTACTTACTGTGGGCCACTTGCGACCAAATACGTAAAAAACCTTTCACTGGGGAGGAGAAGCGGAGAGAGGAGGGAGTTACATGTAAAAGATAGTGACAAGGTACAAACTAGAACAGAAGAACATCAAGGAGAGGGTGGTCACTCTTACTCAGATAAAGAAAAGGCGTCTCAGAGGAACGATGGCTTGGGGGTATTCTGAGGACTAAACGTGAGTATCTATCACACAGTAAGCACTAATTCTTAGTTATTCTTATTCATCCACACTTTTTAGTTAACCCTCTCCCTATTAAGATATCCTTTTACCAGATGGACCTTTCCAAATAAAAGAAATAAAAAGAATATTAAAGTTGCCTTTCCCCTTCTATTTACTACAACTTGACTTAATGGTGGCATGTTTGCATTTTAGCTACTATTCTTAATGTTATCAGTCACTGATCCCTATTAACTAGGTACTATACCCAAAGCTTTACATACTTTATGTCTTCTTTACATACATTATGTCTTCAAAACAGCTCTCTGACGCAGGTTACCATCCTTATTTCACAGATTAAAAAACAGCAACAACAACAAAAAACAACCCAAACTCAAAAGTTAAATAATCAGCCCAAGATTTTGTAGTTGTGCAACCAGACTCTGAATCCAACTCTGTGACCACAAAGCCAAATCCAATGAGAATATTGTTCATTTGCACCAGTCAGTAAGGAACAAAACTCCACTAGTTTTTCCTCACAACGCAAAACTGGGGAGCCAACCCAATTATTTAAAATCCTATAGGCACCGAGAAAGAGAGTAAGATGTTTTATGAGCCATGACATTTCTCAAGCGAGTCAAGAAGCCCAACAGTTGAAAAATTTTAATGATTCTTTAACAGATTTAACCAAGTGGCAACTGGATTTAATGCTGTCTGTTTCTTCCAATTAAAATCCACATAGACCTGGCAGAAGTAAAATGTTTTACAAAAGCACATTTTAAATGTGATTTTTATCCCCTTCTCAAATTCTATATGAGATTAATACAGGCTGTCAGTAAATGTTAGGTCCCTTCCCCTTCACACAATCTTACAATTTAGGAACTAAATAGGGTCATCGTAATCATACTGTGCAAACCTTAAATGACAATGATTGAGACTGAGGGAAGGGAGAGGTAGGGACTAGCCCAAGGGATCCTATTTGATCCTCAAAACAAGTCTGTTAGTCATTATTATATGTTCCTGATTTTTCTACTTTGTAAAAGAGAAAACCAAGGTTCAGAGAAAACATGTGGAAAATCTATATCTGAAACCTGAGATCTCAAACTCAAGCAGAGAGATGGACACTGTAAGACTTAAGGAAATGCTAAAAATAAAAAAAAAAACAACATGGTAACAGGATGAAGAATGCTTTTGTCAGGCTCATCAATAGACTAAACACAGCCCAGGAAAGAATCAATAAACTCAAGGATAGGTCAATAGAAATTACTGAAAATGAAACACAAAGAAAAAAAGAGGGAAAAATCAAAAGCCCACAAAAGAGCATCCAAGAACTACAGGGCAATATCAAATGGTCTAACATATGTGTAATTGGAACCCCAGAAGGAGAAGATTGAATGGGGCAGAGAAAATGTTAGAAGAAATAATGACTGAGAATCCTACAAAAATTATAACAAAAGAAATTTATAAGAAAGCACAGCTATATTTACTAAATTTATAACAAAAAAAAAAAAATCAAAGCACAGATCCAAGAGGTTCAGAGAATCCCAAACAGGATAAATCCAATATACATACGCATGTGTTCATACACACACATACACACGCTATACATATCATATTCAAACTGTTGAAAACCAAAAATAAAGAGATCATCTTGATGGCAGCAGGAGGTGGGCACATTACATACAGAGAAACAAAGATTAAGCAATCTTCTTGTCAGAAACTATGCAAAACAAAACAAAAAGCATGCAATGACATCTTTAAATTACTGAAACAATTTTTTAAAAAGTCAACACTTATTAGGGGACCCTGGGTGGCTCCGTGGGTCTGACTCTTGATTTCAGCTCCAGTCATGGTCCCAGAATCGTGGGATTGAGCCCCACTTAGGATTCCCTCTCTCTCTCTCTCTCCCACTGCTCCTCTCCTCCATTCATACTCGCTTTCTAAAAAAAAAAAAAGAAAATCATATATATATTTCTGAGAAAAATGGTTCTCAAAAATAGACTTTTTCAAACAAACTCTAAGAATTTATTAGCAGCAAACCTGAACTACAAAAACTGTTCAGGCTGTGGCTGGCTCAGTCAGTAGAGCATGC